ATATCTTTTGGTTGAAGGTGACTACCAAGAGTACACGGATTTTAGTTGCTCATAAGTCCTAATTCTCCAACTATCCACCTTATCATATATTAAATTAAAAAAGCAGGAGGCCATTGGTCTGAAACTGTGTTTGAGTTTCTACCTAAAAAAGCAAACCAAAACCTAACTTAGCAGTATATTTTGTAACAAACAGCCAAGTTTCAATCGATCACAAGCAGCCAAGCTTCAGCCAGTCACGGGCAGCCAACTGATCAGACCGTGCCAAAATAAGGCAAATGCCTAGCTGTAGCCAAGCAGGTGATTCTTTGCTTCCATGTTTGGACTATAAAAGCTCACTGCTTAGTCTGCTGGGTGAATTCTCTGAACCTCTTCTGGTTCTGCGTGATGCCTGATTCCTGAATTGTTCTTTGCTCAAATAAACTCTGTTAAATTCAATTTTTCTGGAGTTTTTTTTTAAACATATGTAATAAGTACAGAATATTTGAAGACAAAAGCCACTACATAATTAATATCAAGTGAAGACAAGATAGAAACCAAACCATAGGTCTACCAACTTTGCAACTTTACAGATGTCCACAAGTCTAGAAAACTAAAGAAAATAAGCAATAATCCCTTGAAGCTTGATCCTTGTGGTCCTATGTCTGTTCAGGATACTAGGGCCTCAGTGACTAGTGTAAATAATCACCTAGACAATGAGGGACAGTATGCAGAGGGCTGGTGAAAGCATCTGCAGAGATATAGGTAGTCACTGCTTTTTAACCTCACAGAAAGGCTACATTAGACACAGTGTGAAAAGCGAAGCAAGATTTCATTACCATAGAAGGCATCTTAGTCAAAGACAGCCCCCTAACAAGTGCACTGAGGTAACAACTAAGCAAGCAACTCACAAATGGCAGCAGCACACATCCTTAGGCAACTGAAAGTGACCACTTAACTAACCTATAACCCAGTTACTATTTCTTCTTTCACAGTGATATCCAATGAGGTAAAGAAACTTTCCTAACGTTGCATGGCACTTTGGTGACAAACCCAAGATTAGAACTCATATACTATTCATGTTTCACCACATCACGCTGTCCTCACCTGATATTGCTTTTCAGTTTGCTTTTGGATTTACAGTGCACAGGAAATGAGAAAAATCAGAGTAATCATAAAGAAATCAAGGTTGGGAGATATTTCACAACAATATTATGACTTTTGTGGCTTGATTCCAGTCCCTAATAAAATTTTCTACTGGAATATAAAACAGATTTGTGACTCTGTGGAAAAAAAATTGAGCAATTAAAATTTGGAATATATATGAGTTCACTATAAAAATAGTACTTCCAAAAGAATATTTTGTCTAAAAAGTACACGTTTATTAAAACATAGCAATTTCAAAGTATCTGATGATATCCTGCTTTATAAGATGCTGAAATATTGATGAAATGATAGCTGAGTTGACGCAAGGCCAGATGAATGATAATATTAAAAGCACTTTAAAAGTCTCCCTGTCAACCAGACTGGGGTAAAATTTCTATTGCAGCACTAGTAGGCCATGTTTTTAAGCTACTGTTGTTCAAAATGGTTATTTGTGACTTTGAAGACATAGTGGAATTTATTCTTACAGGTATAATACAGCTATAGTAAGTGCCAGGTGAGTTATTAAAGAATCAGGCCTTGTTAGATGTGTATTAAGCAGTGAAAGTAAAACGGTGAGGTCCAGTACAGATGTATTCTGAGCCAGGCTAGGAAAATGCTGCTTAGTGAGAAGGACGGGTTTCCTGCTAAAACCTTGAGAAATAGAAAGGGACCCTTTAGATGGAAATGGTAGAAATGCTGTGCCTATGACATAGCATACTAGAAGTGTTCTAAAATATAGTTTGGGGTATAAAATGTTAGAGCTGCTTCATTAGGAGGTTATTCTCTAAAGCGTGTCTCTGGAGCAGGCAGAAAGAGGAGAGGGATAGAGGGCATGGATTTACAGTGATAACTAGTATGATGGTGCTTGCTTCCCTCTTCAGATCATTTCCTCACTCTCATCTTTTCTTCCCTGCTTTGGGGTTATATTCCTAGTCTGGGTTATGACACCCAGAGGATGTGCATCCATCATTTTTCCCTTTCTTAACCTATGATATACTCTCAATTTGCCGATGACTTAAAATTTGGCCTAGCAATATGGCATGATTACAAATCAAAATGACCTTGAGTCTGGTATGCTAAACTTAAAGCAACCAGACAAGATTAAAGGTGAAGATCTGACTTTACATTTTTAAAAAAAATCACTGCAGTGTGGACAAGCTAGTAAAGTTCTAACTAGGCAGCAGCATCTATGAGCAAAATCACCAGCCACATCTGGAGATTTTAATTGACTATATTTGCAATATGACCTTAGATTAGCAAGAGGCTTTACTGAATAAGGTAATGTGCCTAATAGCTTCAAAGAAGGACAGTGCCCAGACCCAGGAGGAATTGAGGGCATTATATCCAGACTGTTATACTCCATTTAGGATACCACAATTTTTAGGTGTCATGAGTAAGGATGGTAATGAACTCTTGGTTAGGTGCATTTATGTTGTGTCATGTTACCTTCTATTTTCCACTCCCCTCTTTTCACCTGCCTTCACTTTTACCTATCTCTGTCTTTTTTCTCCCTTCCTGTCTATTCCCCTGTTTTGGAAGGTTGCAGCTAATCCTTAGTTAATAGCAATGAAGGAGCTTTATGTGCCTTGAAAAGTGAATTCTCTTTCCATCAGGAATTCATATAGCCCAAGTAGATAGTTACATTGGATGTAAGACTCTTCCTTTTCCGAGGTTGAAACAGAGGGTGGATAGGGACATCTTGAGAGAAGAGGGGTGTTGGAGTGAGGGAGATGAGAGCCAGGGCTTCCAGGTGAGGCCCTACTTTGGAGCTACAATGCCAGGTGCTCCATGATCCCTTACATTGTAGACAGTGGACAAGTGGGCTTCAGGGTATAAGGGTGACCTTTGATATGTAGTAGTGGCTGTCTTCCTGTGGGCAGGACAGGATCCTTCCCTCAATGCCAGTGACAAGGCTGATGCAGGAGAATTGCTATGACAACAATAGTAACACTTAACATTTATACAGACTTAACCACATGCCAGTGATTCCTATATATTATTTAATTTAATCTTTATAATAGTTAAGGGAAGTGATTTTAATGTTTTTAATTTATAGAACAGGAAACAATTTCAGAGGTTACATGAATTGCCAAAGATCACACATAATTAGCTGATAACAAAGATGGACTAGAAGCTAGGTCTGCCTGGTGACAGAGCTTCTGCTCTTAACCATTACACTATTCAACCTAATTGTTAATTGGATATAATAGTATAATCCTAGGGGTCCCTAAAGAAGTTTGTACCAATGTAAATTTTCTGTAAATCAGATAATTTTTCTGTAGTTGGGAAAGATGCTAACATTTGGAAAATCTGGGTGCAGTATATATGAGAATTCTCTGTATTAGTTTTACATTTTTTGTGAGAAATTTATGAAAAGTTAAAAAAATCAAAATTGAAAATAAAAAATGTGATTACCAGATGGCTTTGGAAGCTGAATGGTTTTAGAAAGCATGTAAAAGAATGACATGAGACTTGGGCAAGTCTCTAGGCTTCAATCTCCTCTTATCAATGATGGGATGGGTATCATGGAAGGGGTGTGGCCTCTGAAATCAGGTTTGGGTTCAAATCCTTGCTGTAATATTTAGCAGCTATGTGATTTGGAGCAAGTTCTCTAAGTTCTTTGAGCTTTCATTTCCTTGTGTGAAAATGGTAATAAAATACCATTTTCATTTTTTATTTAGATAAATGACTTTATCATTTTTCTAAAATAGATGCTCATTATTAAAATATTCAAGAAAGAAGAAAAGTATAAAGAAGTTTTGTAATCACTCAAAATGTCACCATTCTGAGTTATTTTGAGGATTAAATTTTAAAAAATATGTAAAGTAGCCAACATAAATATTTATGTTTATAAATTTTCAGAAATGTTTATTATCATATAAAATATGATATAACATCAATTGTTAATGGATCATTTTCATTTACCTTTAAGAAATAAAAAGATGCTACCAATTATACTGTTACAGCAGAATTGACCAGGAACAAACCGAGAGGCACAGGAAGTATAGCAAAACAGGTTTATATATGCCAGCGGACTCAGAGAGGGATTTTTCCTCCCAAATTCTGAGCCCCGAACAAAGAATGTAGCAGTCTTTTATACATTTTGGTTAAAGGGGGAGTGGGGCACAGTTACAGTGAGGTTAGGAAGTGGGGCATAGTTACAATGAGGGAGGAAGTGGGACACAGATACAATGAGGTTATCTTTAGCGGGGGCATAGTCTTGATCCACCTTGGTGCCTGCAAACAGTTTACAGAGGCTAGAGTGACAGCTGTTTGGGGAGACAGCAGGGACAGTTGTCAGTGGAGTTTTCTACTTCATTCCCCCCTTTGATGCCCTTATAGATATCATGAGGCATTTGTCTTCATGTGTCTATTATAGGGCATCATTTTCTAATGGGTGACAGCCCCATAAGGCCATTATGTGGGCTGTTGTCTTTTGAGTTACATTTGTTTTTATAAATTTTATAATTGCACTTAGTATGTATGGGCCTATAGTGACAAGGAGGAGAATAGTCATTAAAGGTCCTGTCAGGGGCAGTAGTCATGAAGTCCATTGGCCCAGATTGAGTCCCTAAGTTTGTTTTAGTTTTTTATTTCTTTTTTGGACTTTTTCTTTTAATTTTTTTACCTTGGCTGTCACTATTCTGGACTGGTTTACATAGTAGCAACATTTTTTTCTTAGGAATATACAGGTCCCTCCTTTTTCTGCAGTGAGGAGGTCTAGGGCTCGCCTGTTCTGGAGGCTAACCAGTGCCAAAGAGTCTAGTTGGTTTTGGAGGGTTATTAGGGAATCTGCTACCTGTTGTATGTCTTTGTTTAGTTCTTGAGATAGCTTTTGGTAGTAGTGAAGTCTCTAATCCACCAAGTCCAGCCTGTACCCCAGCTATGATGCCTCCTCCCACGAGGAGTGGTATAAGTAAAGGAGCTGCTCGCTTTTCCCGGACACTTGGGTGGGGACTTAAAACCTTCTCCATTTGAGGAGTGGTGTATATAGTGATGTCTGGGGTAAGGAAAATCTGGGTGCAGACCCCAGTCCAGTTAACTGGGAGGCAAAGGTAAGCAGTGCTACCACAAATGTAGAACATGTCATCTCTCGGACAGTGTATACTGGAGTTGAGAGTTTGGTTGTTGCTGCATAGACTGACTGGCAGAGTCCCTATAGGTTTATTTCCTTTTAGGTTGACGAGACAAGTGATGTTGGATGTCTTAGCCAGATGGACGTTATATGCCACTGGTCCAACTAGGTGTGTTTTGCTGGGGTTAATGGTGGAACTGATGGAATTGTTCCAACCTGAGAGGACAGGGACTCCAAAGTATACACGTCTTTGGAGGGGCAGACAAATCCAATACAGGGTGTGATTAGGCAAAGCATTAAGGTTGGTGTTGAGGAACTTGGCTATCTGAGAAGTAGTATCCAGGAGTCCTGAAATTGGCCTCATTATACTCGGGGGATCTGGAAGCTGTGAAGTAGTATTCTGGGGCCTTGAAGCTAGCTTTGACATATTCTTTGTACTTTTAATGTTTCGGGTTCCACTGAGGAGCCCTGGAACATACCTCCAGCAGACTCTGACACCTTTTTCTGGCCTGTTATCTTTGTCTGGTCCGTACCCATCTTTTGTTGTATAGTACCTGTCCAATATCTTCTGTCCCCCTGAGTGCAGATCCATGGGTCTATGTAACAAACTCTCTTAAGACTGGTATAAGCCTGAAACTCTTTAGTTTTGTATCAAGGGTAAAAAATCATCATCTAAATCATCACATTTTCAGACGTCCTGGATACATACTGGAGGGAAAGGGAGAGGGCTATTGATGACTGTAAGTGGGAGACAGACAAGGATTAGAATGTGGAACAACATTGTAACCAGAAAAGGGACCCTACCACAGCCTAATATAAGACGATTAATAACGGTCCTTTTTTTGGCCCCCAGTCTTCTGGGGCCACTGGGTAAAGTCCAATGCCCAGTAGTAGGGTTAATAGTCTAACAGTTCAATGGCGATGTAGGAGACTGGTCCAGTCATCTGGTTCTTGGTGCCGTCTTTGGGTGATTGTTGTGTCGGAAACGGATCTTCAGTGGGTCTTCTGGGTTTTGGTTCTGTTGCCTAAAGGTTTGGTTGTCCTCAGGTGTGGCCTTCTTTACTCTCATGTGATGAATCTAGGGCGCTATCCCTGCAACTTTAACAGCAGGGGGTATGATTAAGATTACAGGGTGGAGGCCTGTCCAGGTTGGCTTTTAGTGGTGTTTTTTTTCAATCTTTAACCCAAACCGAGTCTCTAGGCTGGTGTGTGTGTGCTGGGTGTCCCATTGTTACAAGGACTCTTTCCATAACATTGTGATGAAGCTGACTCAGGGTTTTAGACGAGGAAATAAGCTGAGTGTGTAGGGTTTTTTTCCTATCCGGGTGACATCTTCCTTGAGCTGCCTGGTTATGGGTAGGGGTCTTTCGTATAAAATTTTAAAGAGTGAATATCCTGTCGGCCCTGGAGTTCATCTGACTTTAAGCAATGCTAGACTAAGTAAGTTTATCCAAGGTAACCCTGTTTCTTGACACATTTTTGCAAGGGTATTTTTAAGGGTCCAGTTCATGCTCTCTATTTTCCCTGAGCTTTGTGGTCTGTATGTAGTATGGAGTTTCTACTTGATTCCTAATATTTTAGTTAAAGTCTGCATGATCTCTGCCGTGAAGCTTGGCCCAGGGGTCAGAATAAATCTGCCATTTTATTTCTCTGGGAACTGTGACTGCCATTATCATGGACTTCAGGGCCGACAATGAGAGGTCAGCCGTACCTTCAGGGTGGAAAGTGATTTGGGCCCCCAACTTGTGTAGGCAGTCCCGTCCTAACAAGGGAACTGGACAGTCTGGGAAATAGAGAAACTCGTGTGTTACTTGATGTCCCCCAAGCTGACAGGAGTGGGGCTGGCAGAAAGACCTGGCTACCTGATTTCCAGTGGCTCCAATTATGGTTGTCTCTCGCCCTGTGAGAGGGGCAATTTGGGTGATCACCACTGAGTGCTGAGCCCCAGTGTCCACCATGAAGGTTACAGGTCGGCCCCCCACATCCACAGTGACCATGGGCTCCCGGGGTCCTAGGTTGAGGGAGTCCGATTGGTCCTATTTGGAGTTTACGCCTGTGAGGCTAATTAGGTACTGGGTCTCCGGTTCTATCTGGAACCCCCAAGGAGGGCCTCGTCTTGAGGGGAGGCCAGTCTTTCAGTGTGGGCACTCGTTTTTCTAATGCCCCATCTCTTTGCAGTATGTGCACTGGTCCGGTCTTAGTGTCCCCTTCCTGCGGGACCCCCTCCCAGGTTTTGTACCGAGCCCTGGGGTAGACACAGGAGCCCTGAGTGCCGCTGCCAGGAGTGTGGCCTTATGTTTCATCTTTTTCTCACTTTCCCTCTGGGCCACACGATCTCGGTTCCAGTACACCTTCTGGGCCACCTCCAACAGTTGAGTGATGTTCATTCCCGCAAAATCTTCTAGATTTTCAGGCTTCGGTGGCATTGAGCAGGGTCATGGCGATGCAGACATCCCCCTGGGGGAACTTGTCGCACTTGAGCATCTCGGGCTAGTAGAAGCCGAAGAACTGCATGACAGGCTCACACGAGTCGCACACAGCCTTGCAGAGCCAGCAGCACAGGTAGATGGGCTGGTTGAGGCAAAGGGGCGCAAAGAGCGAGCAGAGGAAGAACGTGGGTACCCATGTGGCGGTTCTTGTTGAGCAGGGGCACCCAGCTGCTGGCCTGCTGCTTCACCTCGGCCATGGTCTCGTGCTCCAGCAGGTTGGGCAGCACCATCTTCTTGTAGCCCACGTTGTGGCACAGCCACAGGTCTGCGGGGATGTCCATGCACTGCGGTGGCTTGGCGTAGAAGCGGCCGCTAGGGTAGGAGCCGACGCCAGACTGACTGAGTTCGCGGTCAGGAGCACGGCTGCCAGCTCCAGCAACACGCCCAGGCCGGCCCAGTGGCGGCCCCCCTACCCCACACCCGCGGCCCATGCCAGCTCTGCGCGCTGGCTCCTCCATGTCGGGGCTGCCTGCCGCTTCCGCACACCCGATCCACACTTCCAGGGGTCTCTGGGGACAAAAGGCGCGGTCCCCAGCCCTGTCCTGCTCCGTGGCTGCGCGCTCCCGCCGGGTCCCTGCCAGTGGCAGCCCTCGGCCTGCCACAGGCGCCGCGGCGGGAGCACGCGCGGGGCGCAAGGGGCAGGGCGCGGGGCACGGGAAGCCGCACTGACTCCCGAGGCTGCCGCGTAGGCGCAACATCTGGGGCTGCTCGCTGCGCCGACGTCTCTGGATAGAGGACGCCTGCTGGTGCATTGTCTATCATGGCTTGTGGCTTTTCAGTGTAAGAAGGGGTATGTTGTTTCCAATTCAGGAGATCTATAGTTGAAAAGGGCTGATAATAGAGTACCGGCAGCCCCTGCTGGACAGTCCTATCCTCGACAACCCAGAGTTGATTTCACGGACTGGCAATTGGAGGGATGGAGCTGGGTTCTTGGCAGAGTCTCCTCGGCCAGGTCATCAGGCATCTGGGGCGGCGGGTCTGAGGGTGGCGGAGTGTCCAGTGCCAACAGTGTGGGTCCGGGAGTTGGGTCACCGGGATTGCATGGAGGCGGCAGGGGGAGTTCATCTTCCAGCGGCCCTTGGTGGATGGGCTTGGAGTTGGGGTCAAGAGACTTTCTTGGCTTCTGAGCAAAGCGGACCTTACTCTGACCCTTCTCTACACAGAACTGGACCCAAGGGGGCAGAGTTTGGGCAATTTCTAGCCAGGAATCGATATAGGGGAATTGATCTGGGTGTCCAGGGGTTCCTGTAACTCGTTTCCAGACTGCCTGGATTATAGCCGTGCCGAGGGTGCCTGATTCGGGCCACCCAACTCCAAAAGAAGGCCACTCCTATTCGCAGAGTGTCTGGAGGAGATTTGGTGACATCTTAATTCCGCAGTCACCTGAAAATCCCTTTCTAAAATTTTTGATCATACACCTGAGGACACTTGGCTTAGATTCTTTCCCTCCCATTGTGTCCTACTGATTGGTGTCGCACAAGGTGGGATTTTACTGTCAGATGTTCACCTGGCTGCTCCCCTCGCGGGGATTTAGGCACGTCTTGGTGAAGGTGCACCCGTATAAACCCCGGGCCTGGTCACTCTCCTTCCGGAGGAGTGAGTCGCCGTTATGCCTTCCGCTGCTGCCACAGAACCGCAGGTACCGACCCAATCAAGCTCCGTAGCTTTTTGCCGTGGAGCTATAGCACTCACGCTCACACACACACACCACGCACACAGAGGTTATTACATTCCCCCCGCCACGGGGAACCTTAAACCTTTCCTTAGGAGGTGATCAAGCTCCTCTTCCATCCTGAGACTGGCTTGGCTACCTGTGGATAGGGTCCCGGGACCTTACCGTGGCCAACATCTGACGTCCTTTCCTGGTTGCCTGGTTGCCAGTACTTCACTGCTGTCTGGGTGGGTCCTGGGCTCATGGTTGGTGGAGCGCCTCCAAGTGAAGAGGAAAATATCCTCAAGCGGGATATGGCGCACCTCAGGCTCTCTCAGTCGTAAGGGGCCGGCTGAGCCGGTGGCCTTAAAGGGCCAGTGCACTCGGCTTTCCCGGTCAGGGAACCAAATGTTACAGCAGAATTGACCGGGAACAGACCAAGAGGCACAGGAAGTATAGCAAAACAGGTCTATATACGTTGGCGGACTCAGAGGGGGATTTTTCCACCCAAATTCTGAGCCCCGAACAAAGAATGTAGCAGTCTTTTATACATTTTGGTTAAAGGAGGAGTGGGGCACAGTTACAATGAGGTTAGGAAGTGGGGCATAGTTACAATGAGGGAGGAAGTGGGACACAGTTACAATGAGGTTATCTTTAGCGGGGGCAGGGTCTTGATCCACCTTGGTGCTTGCAAACAGTTTATAGAGGCTAGAGTGACAGCTGTTTGGGGAGATAGCAGGGACGTTTGTCAGTGGAGTTTTTTACTTCAATACTATGTTGAGTCATGACTGTAAGCTACATCATTATTTTAGAGATGTTACATTGTGGAATTATGCATTCAGAAATCAATAAAATACTTCATATATGCAATATTTACTTCATTCTAAAAGGGACTTATTTCAATGTCTCAAATATAAGATATATACTACAACTAATATATAAATTTAATAATTATTTCTTCCACTGCCCTCACCCCACATACAACCCATCTGAATCAAGGAACTATGCTATAGGCATTACATTTACAGAAAAATTTGGAAGGATATACAACAGAATGTTAATAATCATTATTATTAATGTTAATAATCATTATTATTAAATGCAAGATACAAAGGATTATTAAAAATTTCTTCTTTTATCTCTATTTAAAATTTTTTTTACAATAAGCTTTTAAAAAAGCTGAGTAAGACAGAATAGTTTATACCAAAATTATCCTACATTGTGCAGAAACAAGCAGGAATATTCAAACTGAGGTAGCCTCAAAAACTTTACTCAATGTCTTTCCAGAGACTGGGAACCTTGGGCAGGTACCTTCAAAGTGGAGAACATGAAGAGTAGTCCTTAGTAATCTGACCTCCTAGCTGCTTCATTTTACCCCCTTATGTTACCGAAAGGTTGGCACTTGTCCCCGTTGTTGCATCAGAAGAATGAGGACAAGTGGTTTGAGGAGGA